TTTTTCTCTGTATTGTAGGTGCTTATTAGCAATCCTTATCTCTGTTCAGTGCATGCCAGTAACTCCCACCTTAACCCCACCCCAAGGACAACCTGAAAGGTCTCCATAAATATGTGAAATGTCCCCTTGGGGGAAAAGTCAGCCTGAGGTTGAAAACCACTGATCTTGAAGCTGTGATTGGTAAGAAGTGATTTTACTGTCATTCCATGCAAATTATTTTCTAACTCCAATTGTGATTTATTTTAGGTGGTTATTTAGAAGTGTATTTCATAATTTGTAAATATAAGTACTTTCTAGTTATCTGCTGTTACTGATTTCTGGATTAATGACAGTGAGAGCAAGAAATATATATATATTTCTTATGGGAAGAAATATATATATATATGGGAAGGGGAGTGGGGCACATTCCACCCAGTATTTCAGCAGTCCTACATGGGGTCAGGTGAGGTTTTCAGAGGTTCCAAGGTCACAAGAGAGACCAGGATGAGCGCAGCAGCAGCTGGAGGGGAGCCTTTGAAATTCTATGTACCATTTTCTCTATTGGGAAAGGAAGCCTTTGAAACTGTGTGTTAATCCCAAGGTTGGGAGAAGGGCTGGGAGAAGGGATGCAGAGGGGAAGCCTGGAGGCTCGCTGCAAACATGAAAGCACTGAAACCCCAGCAGGTGGCGCACTTAGACTAGCTGGGGGCAAGCTTGCAGGTTCCTGTCAAGTGCATTTCCCAAATAAACCTGCTACCTCACTTTCAGTATACTTATTGTCCCTTGTCTAAATCCATTTTTTCAAGCAGGAGAAGAACTGAGGAGGGGAAGTGCCCTAACTCCCCTCACCTGGGTCTTCCCAGTAACAGTACTGATGACCTTTTGGGCCAGTAATTCTTTCTCCTGTTTTTTTTTCTTCTGCATTGTTGGTGCTTGTTAGCATCCATTATCTCTATTTACTGCTAGCTAGTTATACCGTCCCTCACCTGCACCCTCATGACAATCTGAAATGTGTCCCTGCTTTACTTAATGTCCCCCTGGGGGCAAAACCACTTGTGCTTGAGAACCACTGACCTTGACTGCTTGTGGAACATGAATGATCTGGCTTTGGTATGCAGTATTTTTATTATCACTCAGTTTAAGTTATTTCTAACTCCAATTGTGATTTGTTTTGGGGGGTTATTTAGAAGTGTATTTTATAACATACAAATAAAGGACTTCTAGTTACCCCCTGTTTCTGATTTCTAGATTATCAGCAATGATAGCAAGTAACATACCTTATATAATTTCATTGAATTGAAATTTGTTGGAACTTGCTTTATAGCACAGTATGGTTAATTTTTTCTATTTATGTTATTTTATTTTTGCTCTTTGTAGTCCAAAATTGTAACCATGGGCATTTAGAGTTGTCACAGGTGGGCACAGGTAACCAGGTTGTTGGTGATTGTGGTCAAAGAATTGAACTGAACACCCAGAGTTTACAGCAGACAGAGAGAGCAGATTTAGTAAGCGATAATACACTCCACAGAACATGGGAGCGGGCCAACTCTGAGCCAAGATTGACCTCAGAGGCTGGAGGGCTTCTGTTCTTATAGGGTGGATCCTTCCTGGGTAGTTTTGGTGGGCTTTTATTGCGCATGTACAAATAGTTGTATTACTTTAAAGCTATTGCGCATGTGCTCTCCCATGATTTTCCTTGACTGGCCACTGGAGAAGGGGGTTGCTCAATGTTAATTTATTATAATGCTATTATGATGAAGCAGGGGTCATGTAGCATCTTCTGTGCAGATGCATTCATGAGTCATCATGATTCAGTGCTTTTCCAGAAAGCAGAAACAACCAATCTTAGAACAGGATCTCTGTGCTGTATGGATGTCCTTTGTCATAGCCCTCTGGCACCTCTGGAGTTTCCTCCTTCCTGACCGTCTCCTGCCTCAGAGTTATACAAATGACACTTACAAAGAAAAAAAAGAGATGACAAAATACCAAGACACCCAAGTGAGATGCTTGGCAGAGACAAACCACAGTCAGGGGCATTGGCAGGGGCAGGGCTTGGAGCCTGGGCTCAGGGGCTGGGTGGCTCCTCACAGGCTCCTGGCTGACAGTCAGCTTCATCCCACCCCAAGACCCAGAGTCCAGTCAAATAAAGAGCACTGATCCTGCCAGCAGGGGCCGAACACCTCACAGCCCTGATCCCAGGTATTCTGCTGGTAGGATGAGGAGACAGCAGTGGCTGTGAGAGGCTGTGCCAAGACTGAAGACCCTCAGGCCCTGAGTCTTGTTGTCAGCCCTGCAGGGCTGGGAGTGGAGCCAGAAGTCAGGCCTGGAATATCTCCTGCTGCCAGTCCCCCACTACCACCACCTCCCAGTCACAGCCCTTCTGACTGTGTTTCTGAGGAGAGCAAATTTCTCCATCCTGAGCCAGGCCTGTGCAATCTTAGGTAGAGCCCAGCTGGAATGCCCGACAACCTCAGGTGAGATCCTGACACCTGCCTGTCACCTTGGTGGCAGAGCTGGGTTTACTGCTCAGGACCATTTAGACGAGAGAGTAGTGTCCTGATGTGCCTGCACATTTCTGTTGCTGGGAATCAGGGCACAAACCCCTGCCATTCTCTGTCTGTGTCCTGGTGATGCGGTCCCCACCCCATGTGGTCTGTGAGTTGTAGCTCTGAGGGACAAATTCACACGGACTACAGAAGTCCCGTGGAGAAAAAGGGATGGTATGGGCCCTCTCTACGTGAGAGAGAGGGCCCTGACCCCTGCCTGGACAGGCTTTTATTGCTTTTCTGGGTACATTACATTGAGGATGCTCTTCATTTACTATGCACAGGTTGCTGTAGGTGATTACCTTTTACAGATAACAAAGGAAAGAATTTTGCTGGTTACTTCAAAGACAAGAATGTTGCAGATCAAGGGGAAAAGTCGTCGAACCAGTTACACTCCATACTGGGGAGGTTTAGCACAGATTTTAGGAAGTTAAAGATATGCAGTAAACATTTGCCACCTAAATTCAGGGTGAGGGAGTTTTAACAAAAGCAAGCCTCATAGCAGCCTAGGTACAATGTAGGCCTGATTCTCACAGGAAAACCTATCCATGGGCGTGGGTCCTGTGTGCCAACCTCACTCCCCACTGGCCTTTCCGAGTAGGGGCTAGGCTGCGTTCCCCAGGCCACGTGGAGCAGTTCCCTATTTCCTGGCTTCTCTGTCTTGGGATAAAAGGACACAAACTATGGCTTCATCCAGAGTGGGGAGGGCTTTCCAACTGCAATAAGCCCCACAGTAGTGGCCTCCCAGTTCAAAGAAAACTGGCTTCCACCCTCCTTGCTTCCTGTCTCTGGGACTGGACGAGTGTGATGCTGGAAGTGCAGGAGGCCCCTGCTACCAGGAGGACAAAACTGAGGCCCAGGAAGACAGAGCAGAAAGACAGCTGAAGGAGTGTGCCTGGTGCTGCTGCTGGGCTGCCTGGCAGCCAGGTCTCTGGGCCTGGACTGAGTGCCAGAGCCTTAGTGCAGTTGTGCTCTTGATCCATCTTGCTGACATTTCTGGGCATGTGAAGGTGTTTCTGCCTCACAGATTTGAGACCATGAAGGTAGAACATGCTGCTAAGTAATCTGGAGCTGATAGTTCTTGGTATTCAAGACCCTGAGCAGAGATCTGAGAACTTTGCTAGTCTTGCTGATGTCTGGACAAGTACCGACCACAGGGAGGCCCGCACATGATGGCGGCTGGACTGTGACAGGAAGGATGCCTGTGCCCATCCCTGATGCCACTGTGATGGGAATTTGTGGTTGGAGGCAGAGCCCCTCTCCTGACCCCAGAGCAACTGCAGCTGGATTTTGTCATGGACTCTGTCTGCTTCACTGGTCTCCCTGTTCGAGTCATTGCCCAGGCTGGAGATGGCTGCCCTTGTCCTGGGACAGAGAGTCAGTCAGTGTGTCCCAATGAGACCCAGAGGGTTCTAACAAGCCACCTGGCTAGGGCCAAAGGCCTGGGCAACAATGCAGCTCAACACAGTGACACATGAGCCACCAGGGAACAGAGTTGACAGGATGTGCACTGGTCCCTGCTAGATATGGTCAGGCTGGAGATGGGAGGTTGGCTGTTGCTGTCAGTGAGTGTGAGTCCAGCTTTCACTGTAGAATTAAACTCGTCACCTTGGAGGCCGTCACCTTAGACTGTCAGGCTGTACACGGGCACACTCTGTAGACAGACACATGGTGCTCCGCTCTGAGGATCAGAGGCAGGTTTGGCTCATCTACCCAGTGCCACCCAGAGAGCAGATGAGGAGCCCCTGAGGCACCCACCTAGAAGGACCATGCTCTCCATTAAACAAGCAGCTTCTGGGGAAGTGCAGGAGACTCAGCATCCAGCAGATGTCAGGCTGTAGTCACTTCTTGGAGCCTGCACTTCAAAACAAGGATGGTGGCTGCCAGCCACTGCCAGGTGGGCAGGGGTGGGGCTTGTGTAAACACCCAGCTCCCTGCACAAGGTGGTCTGAGATTGTGTGAACTATACAAGCAAGGCTGAAACAAGTTTCTATTTCTGACTTAGCTTTGAGAGCCACACAGCATTTTCATAACAGACCAGCTTGGTTGTGTGGAGGGACTGTACAGACAGGGGTGACAGCATGTGCATTTGGGGGACACCTTGGAGGCTGGCAGCTATATTAGGAATGTGCTTTGCTGCTGAAGGGGAGGGAAAGGGAACAGACCTCTACTCATCTTGAATCACTAAGGCTTCTGGGAGAACTCCAGGGTCTGTCCTGGTGGGGGGGGGGGCAATGGTGAGCATCATGTGGCAGTCTGTGGGTTCCCTTTCCCACTGTATTCAATGCCAGCCCCTCTGTGAGCATTACACCAGGACTCTGCCACTCTCACATGGCCCATGCTGAAAGCCACAGAATATTGAATTTATGATATTCTCTCTGGGCTGTGGTGGTGGGGGAGAAAAAGGGAAGGGAAACAAAACTCAAGAAAGACACTTTCCTTTCAAAAAGCATAAAAGAACACAATAGTGGATATTTATTATTGAAATCCATATAGTTTATGTAGACACTCTTCTTCATAAGCATGGCACTGGAAGGACAGAAAGGTCATCGTTCCAAGTCATGGGGGTAGGTGGCCCCCTTTGGTGAACCCACTCCAGCAGGAATAGGGTGGGTTATGCTTAGGTCATGTCCCTCATGCAGGAGAGGATTTGATGGGGTCCTCACTAATTGTCATCTCTCTGTATTGAACTCAGCTCTGGTTCTAAGAAAAGTGTGACCTCTGGGAGCTGTTAGCACCCTTCCCTGTGTTTATGCAGATGTAGATGTTTACCCTGTTCTCACCTTGAGTCTTGCTGAACTACCACCCATTGGGTCCACTGGAATTTTGTCCTCCTGGGCCACTGTGGACATTACCTGGGAATGGGTGGCCAGGAATGACCAACATTGTGCATATCCATGAACCCATCAGGGTTTATATCACAAACACAACTTTGAAGATACAATAAGCACTAATTTCGAGATGGTGTCAGTGGTGTATTAAGCCCTGTGGGGCCCAGGTACAAGGAAGGTGCATTATAGAGGCTCCTGCATTGTGGGCTTCATGAATGCCATATGCAGATTGAGTGCACCTGTCACAGGAGAAACTCGGTCGTTCTTGCCAACACAGTATAGGGTTACAGATCAGCAAGTGTATTGGTGTGCAAGCAGGGCTTATCAGTGATACATTCTCATGGAAGGGGACAGGTCTTGCTGAGATGGGAGTGAAAGCCAAGAACTTGGGTTGCAAGAGCACCAGATCCTTTGTCCTGAGGACTTATATAGTTGGTGGGAAGGGGGCAAAGAAGTTCCACATTGATTGACGGGTAAAAGTGGTACCAGCTTCCATGGGGGATGAGACTACTGAAACGTAGGTATGTGTGGGGGTCATTAGCTCAAATCCTTATCTGGTTTCAGACCCCATTTTGCCATCTTATAAAACAGATACATGACAGGAGACAGTTAAAGTTACGGCAGTTACCCAGTTATCTATGGTCTCTTTCTATAAGCACTAGGGACCCTCTCATAAGTGTCCAGAGGCAAGCAATTAACCAAAGTTGTTTTATGGGTCCTTTCCATGAGTGCTGTGGACCCCCTCCCATCTTCTAGGCCTTGGGATGAATAGTTTCAAAGCCTTTCTTTCCGAGATGGTGGAAACAATACCTAAATTTGAACACGTTAGCCTAGTATTTTTTGTGATGCTGGATCATCTGGCAATAGAACTGAACCAGGCTCAGGACTGCTGAGTTAGTGGGTGACACACATCTTCCTCATCCTCCCTGTTTTGGGTCATCATCTATCCTAACATACCAGTGCAGGTAGATGCTGTTCCCAGTGTCAGTTCTCAGCAAGGGGTGAGTGAGGGTAATTTCACAGGTTATTTTCAGTACCACCTGCCTGTGTAGAGGAGGCTCTGAGGGTGCCCAGGCTCAGTGAGAAGGTGGTAATCTGGAGGGAGGCACACCCCCAACCTCATGCTTCCTTCTCAGGGCAGTTGAGTCTATGTGGGGAAAGCAGTGGGGTCTTCTGCTTTCTAGTGAGTTCCCATTTCCATTGCACAGACTAGGAAGCAGGCAGAGAGAAGTTGAGAATCTTGTCTTGGGTCACACAGCTGGAGAAGACAGAGCTGAGACTAACACCCACTATGGACTGGTGTGGAATCTGTGTGCTGTGCACCAGGAAATGCTGACTCTGAAGGGGCAGCAAGGAGAGTGAGAAAGACCAGGTGTCCAGACTGAGCCAGGCTCACATCCGTGCACAAGCATACATCCCTCCCTGCCGTTCACCTCTGAGGTTCCGGAGGTTGTAGGAAACTAGAAGAGCCAAGAGAAACTAAGTGAGGAGGGTAGGGAGCCTATTAAGAGAAAAGACCCCACTTCCCAGGAGTCTGGGGAATTCCCTTTCCTGGTGAGTCTGTCTCAAATCCTTCTCTCTGGGAAGTAATCACAGTAGATTGACTCCAGACTTATGCATTTGTAGTTGAATTTCTGTTGGCTGAGACTATGACTTCTTTGTGGCTCTTCCCAAACTGCTTTCAGTGACGGGGGGAATGAGTGATGTGGGTTTCATAGTTGTATGGAGACAAAACTTTTTAGGATGGGACATCAAAAAACCAGGAATGAGATTGGTGCTGACATCCCCATATCACTATGGAACTGTTTGTCCATCTCATCTGTTGTCATGAAACTGGAGGGTTTGTTTAACCAGTTACTTCTGTACTAATTACAATCTTGGGGAGAATAAGGTTCCGTAGACTACTTATGGCTATTGACATGTGATTTAAGGGTAATGATTTATTCACTTGACCTGCAAACATAGGGTTTCTACCCAGAATGTGTCCTCTGGTGTCTGAAGAGATGTGCCTTCTGTGTAAAGCGTTGCCCACACTCTATACAAACATAGTGCTTTTCCCCTGAGTGTGTCCTCTGGTGTCTGATGAGATTTGACCTCCCTGTAAAACCTTGCTCACACTCCCTGCAAACATAGGGCTTCTCTCCTGAGTGAGTCCTCTGGTGTCTGATGAGATTTGACCTTCCTGTAAAACCTTGCCCACACTCCCTGCAAACAAAGGGCTTCTCCCCTGAGTGAGTCCTCTGGTGTCTGATGAGATTTGACCTCTGTGTAAAGCCTTGCCCACACTCCCTGCAAACATAGGGCTTCTCCCCTGAGTGTGTCCTCTGGTGTCTGATGAGATTTGACCTCCCTGTAAAACCTTGCCCACACTCCCTGCAAACATAGGGCTTCTCCCCTGAGTGTGTCCTCTGGTGTCTGATGAGGTTTGACCACTGTGTAAAACCTTGCCCACACTCCCTGCAAACATAGGGCTTCTCCCCTGAGTGTGTCCTCTGGTGTGTGATGAGATGTGACTTCCGTGTAAAGCCTCTCCCACACTCCCTGCAAACAAAGGACTTCTCCCCTAAGTGTGTCCTCTGGTGTGCAATGAGAACTGACTTCCATATAAAGCCTCGCCCACACTCCCTGCAGACATGAGGCTTCTCCCCTGAGTGTGTCTCCTGGTGTCTGAGGTGATGTGACCGCTGTGTAAAGCCTTGCCCACACTCCCTGCAAACATAGGGCTTCTCCCCTGAGTGTGTCCTCTGGTGTGTGATGAGATTTGACTGCTGTGTAAAGCCTCGCCCGCACTCCCTGCAGACATAGGGTTTCTCCCCTGAGTGTGTCCTCTGGTGTGCAATGAGAACTGACTTCCAGGTAAAGCCTCGCCCACACTCCCTGCAGACATAGGGCTTCTCCCCTGAGTGTGTCCTCTGGTGTGCAATGAGAACTGACTTCCAGGTAAAGCCTCGCCCACACTCCCTGCAGACATAGGGCTTCTCCCCAGAGTGTGTCTTCTGGTGTGTGATGCGATGTGACCCATCACTGAAGCCTTGCCAACACCCTCCGTGCTGTATTGTTACAATTCTTGACATTCCTACATTCACAAATAACTTGCCTGTGTCCTCTGGACTCTCCTTCTGGCCTTTACGGGGCTTGTCCTCCATCATTCTCTCATGCTTACTAGAGCTCCTCATTTGTTCTTTGGAAGTTTGGAAGAAGGGTCTTGAGATTCTCCTCTGACTGACCCTTTTAAGCAAAAGTTTGGACCTTTCTTTGACCTCTTGACCTTCAGCTTTATCATTCCAGCTGTGTGTATGAGTACGTTGTTGCTGCTGCTGATTCTGATCCTCTGGACAGGGGTCCTCTGCTTGGAGGTGTTTTCTTGCAGATGCTCCGGGGTGAATCTGACAGGGATGATTGAGTTTCACATGTCGGCTGAGGAATTTCTGACTGGAGAAGGCCAGAGAGCAGGAGGGACATGGGTGGACCTCTGGCTTTGGTTCTGCTGAAAGAGAAAGGTTTGGTCAGGGCAGTTGTTGATGAGAATGCCTGGGCTCTATGATTAGTCTCCTGATAAGACCTGCCCCATGAATCCTTCTTACTGCGGTGACAACACAAGCTGTGTCTCCCATAAAGTGTATACTCGCAGTCTACTTTCCTTTTTACTTTTTGCAGTGCATCTTCTTCAGAAATCCAGAAAGCCCATATCAAGGGTCTTTTCTAATATTGCCCAGACTAGGGGCTTTCAAGGAGCATGAGGCCATTTCACTCCCTGTGTGGATGGAACTGTAGTGACCTTCCCCTTCTATCATTATCTTCTAAGTCATGCTGAAGATGAAAACCACAGGCCCCAACTAGGCATTGCTTCTCTTGGTTTCCAAAACAGTAAAATAAAACATCCTTTCTGCCTTTGCTCGTGTGGCTCAGTGGATTGAGTGGCAGCCTGTGAAGCAGAGTCACAGGTTTGATTCCCAGTCAGGGCATGTGCCTGGGTTGTGGGCCAGGTCCCCAGTAGGGGGCGTGTCAGAGGCAACCACACATTAATGGTTCTCTCTTTCTCCCTCTTCCCGTCTAAAAATAAAGAAATAAAATCTTTTTAAAAAGTCCTTCCTCAAGCCTCACACCAGATGTTTATGCTTCATTTCATTCAGGGTTAGCCCATTTCAAATACACTAAGTCCTGTTTCAAAATATTTCTCCAACTACACGTCTTACACGCCCGACTCCTGTTTCTCTCTGGCCAATCCACCATGCCACTTGGAGATGAAGTGATGTCTGAGGGGATTCCCCACTGGAGTTTATTTTCTAAAAATTAACAAAGCACAATTGCAACAGAGAACACACCGCTCTACAGCTGATGACTGTACACTTTCACTCAGGAAAGTCCCGAGTGTTTCAACTCAGATCATCAACACTGTACTTTGGGGCTGCTAAACATCTGAACTCAGTTCTTATTCCCTATGCTGAGACGAGACCTGAGTGACCCTCAGCCAATTCAACGCCCCCTCTGTTTTCTTCTCTGCACTAGATGCTCCCTCTGTCTGGGATCCTCTGCCTGCAGGTGTTTTTGTAAATGTTATCTCCTGAGAGCCCTTCCCAGACCACCTGCCATACTGCACCTCCCCTCACACTGATCTCTAGGCCCTTGTCCTGGATTAGTTTTCTCCAAAGCACTAACCCCTATGTAGTGTTATGCACATGCAAGCACGTGAGCCTGGTTTTCCCTCCATCACTCTTCAGCTCCTCAAGAGCAGTGAATCTCATCTTCAGGTTAATCTGTATTTCCAGGTCCCAGGACACTGTGCACCACAGAGTAGGATCTCACATAATTCACTGAAATAATGAACGAACGTGCCCTGCCTGAATGGTGTTGCTCAGTGGATTGTGTGTTGTCCCAAAATGGAAAGGTTATAAGTTTGATTCCCAGTAAGGGCACATGCCAGGGTTGTGGGCCAGTTGGGGGTATGCCAGAGACAACCGATGAATGCTTCCCTTCCACATTGATTTTTCTTTCTCCTTCCTTTCCACTCTATGCAAAAATAAGTACAATTTTGTTTAAAAAGATTTATGTATTTATTTTCAGAAAAGGAGGAAGGGAGGGAGGGAGAAGGAGAGAAACATCAATGTGTGGTTGCCTCTCACATGCCCCGTACTGGGGACCTGGCCCCAAATCCAGGCATGTGTCCCAACTGGGAATCAAACCGGCAACCCTTTGGTTCACAGGCCAGCACACAATCCTCTGAGCCATACCAGCCAGGGCAAAATCTTTAAAAAATAATGAATGCCTATAAACGAAAACATCTTATTTAGAAGTATAAAGGAAAGTTAACAAGAAAAAAACAGCTATAAAAGTTTCAGAAAAACTACATTGGTGAGAGAACTGGTTAATGATTGAAAATTTCTTTTCTGCCTTTGAGTCTTTCAGCACTATATGCGGTTGTGTATTTTGCTCACAAAATATTTTTAAAATAAAAAATATAAATATTTTCCTTAAGAGTCAAAGACATATGAATGAATTGTGAGTTTCTGAAGCATCTTAGTTGAAACTTTACTGACTTTAGAGTGGATTTTACTCTACTGAAGAGTTGGATCATGGTATTTCTATGGAGAATTCTCTTTTCTTTTTGTTTTGAAGAACAGTGGTGCCCACCTGTCCCAGCCATGAGCTCTCTCTTCCACTTGCTGCCCCACTTGCTGCCCAGCTCCTGGCCATACTCGTCCCCGAACCAGACCAGCAGCTCACAGCCTGGCCTGATGACCCGGCAGGTTCGGTAGAAAATCTGCCCATGGTATTGAAAGGCCACCAGGTTCTGTTCTTCATCATCCCGGGCACAGTTCACATACCTGGGATTGAGGCAGAGGAAGGGAAAGAAAACCACAGTGATGAGTTCCCACTACCTGTTACATCCATGTCCAGCTCCTCACTGATTCTTAAGGCCCTCAGGCTCTGGTGTTGCCCACTGCCCCTCATGTTCCCAGGGAACCTTCTGTTCAGTGTCTGAGCATCTGTCAGCATGTCATATGAATTCCTGCCTCCAAGTCCTGCTTGCAAGTGTTCATCCTGCCTAAGACCATTTTCTAAAACCCAGTTCTAGACTTAACCTCCACCTTGACTGGCCATAATATCCAGTGATCTCTGGCTTCTCCAAACTCTAAATCAACTTGTCTCATACCACAGAACCTGGTGCTTGATCTAGAGCTCTGCTTCTAAATTAGCTCACTAATTATTCAGTACCCAGCCCACATCTGCTTTCTCTTGACAGGCCTTTCTCCAACCCCCCTACACTTTATTTAGGGTACCATTCACTTGCTTGCTCAAAGTGATCATAGAAAATTGGAGGTCTTTTTGTCTTAGTTAAAATAAAACAGAAGAATAGTAGTTGATTCATATTGTTATCCCTGATAAAAGAGAGCCCCTCTCAAGAAAGGGGCCCATGACCATTCTTCTGCAGGCCCCAGAGCCCAGCTCTAGTTAGAAGGCAGGCCAGGATGGTTTGCTGCCCTCACAGGTTTAGGCCACCCTTGGGTTGTGCTATCTTGACACTGTGCACTTCTTGGAAATTATAGTTAAATGTTTCTAAACGCAATTGTTTTATGTCTGTCTGCAAGAAGTCCACCATAAAGACATGGGTTGTGTGATCTGTTTAAGTAATTTATTCCTTCACCTAAACTGGAATATAGTCAGTGCTTAATTAATGCTCATTTGATAAGTGAAAGTGTAATCCAGTGTCCCTGGTGAATCTAGGCTCTTCAAGGTCCTTTCCACCACCCACATTGTGTCTAGCAATGAGCTTTATATTTTGAGAACATATGCTATACTTTTTTTCCTAAATGTCCCCTGAAATGAAAGAACACTATATGGAGAAAAACAGGAAAAAAGAATTAAGGGAGACCACTGACAGAGGCATGATGAGAGGGAAATTTATATATGGGTAGTGGGGGATGAGAGTTCCCTCTGGCACCCAGAGACCTGTTGACCTCACCTCATCCAGTTGGCCCAGGATCTGTCCTTTCCATCCACATACTCGTAGCAATGTCTCCCTTCGGTGATCTACATCTCAGAAAAGAAGTTAAAGACCTTTTATTTATTTTTTGTGGGGAGGTAATAGTCAGAAGAATTATTTTACTCTACTGTCATCAAAGCTCTTCTAGCCTACATGGGGATTCAACTGCCAGTTGTGACATGATATTTGTCTTACTCACCATCTACACATCTGAGTGTACCTGTTCATCAGAGCAGGAGCCTCACAAGGGAGGAGCCACTCTTTTGTGTCTGTACCACTTTGCTCCCACTTACCTTCTGCTCCTTAAACAGGAGCTCTGTGTTCATGTAAAGTCCAGTCAGTACACAGAGCTAATCATACTGTCCCCTCCATGTCTAGCACAGAAGAGGAGAGGTCCCTCCAAGCCTCAGAAGGAATGTGGGAAGGCAGAGGACAGTGGAAGAGGTAAATAGTTCTCACCAGCCAGGAGTATCTGCTCTTAGCTGCCTCTTCATCTTCTGTGATGTGTCCTTCATAAGGGCCAAAGTGCAGACCCACTGGCAAGTCTGCTGCCTCATTCCACACTCCAAGCCCAGCCTCAGGGATGCCCGAGGGCCCGATTCTCAATCCAGGGGGCAGGGTGAGGGCTGAGCGGTGGGGATGCCCCTTGTCCATTGCACTGTCCTTTACAAATGTAGGGGGTCCATGCACCGCACAGCTGTTGATGAAGAAGTTCTGACACTTCTCACAGTCTGGAGGTGAGAGCAACAGGGGTTAGGGAAGGTATAGCACATGTTCCTGGACACAAAGAGCTTCAGAGGGAGTCCCGCAATCACATCATTGAGACTCAATCCTGTACTCCAGGTCACTAGAGGAAGGGAATGATTTGGGGACCAAAGGACTAGATGAAACTATTCTATCGTAACATGTTTCTCAGTGAGGGTCACTTACAAAGGTAGTCATCATCCTGGGGCTCGTTGACCTCTTGGTACACACAGTCCTTTCTTTCTTGTAGGCTGTACCTCTTCATATCCATCTCCTTTCTCCTCAGTTCTAAGTTGGAGAAGAACAGAGGAGCAAGGTTGGTGGGGTCTGGAGTGTTAGTTCCCATTTTGTCAGATAACACACAATGTCCTCCCATCAAGTTATTACCCACCCTTTTGCATAGTTTGGTATTTTACTCCATTCACTATTGGTTGAGAAGAGTAAGACTCCACACTAACTACAGATGACTGATCAATTTTAGTTTCTAGATCTTCCTATTACCAGGTTTACTTGCCAACCTTTAATCATTCATAAAATACTTATTGAGTACGCTTTATGTGTTAGGCATTGAGTAAAGGCCTGGGCACCCAACACCAATAAAGTGTGGTTGCTATTATCACAGATGGATTTGTTGGACAAGTTGCATGTGTTGTTTTAAATTTAATTTAATGTTATCAAAGAATATATGAGCGACGTTTCCCTATCTTCTCTTTACACATTAGCATTCAGGAGCTCAGAGAATTTATAGGATTTGCCCAAAGCTCCAGTGCTAACTTCAGTCTCAGTTTAGCCCAGCTTAAGTCCAGGCCTACCCAAAGTCCGCCCCACATACCTAGGTCATACTTATCAGCCCTTCTATAGGACTTAGAGGAACTAAAGTTTCCAAATTTTGTTCTGTTACTCGATATTTTTCTAGTGTGATTTTCAAGGGCACATGCTTCTCCAGGAGGGGACACTGGTTTCTGGGCATGCTCTGAGTTGGTTGCAGTCATTCAATTTGCTGTTCCTGACAATTCCTTCAAACTGTATTCATTGCTTAATGGCACCCTGGATGTTGCCTTCAATGTAACATATTAAAACATAACATATTTAATTTTTAAGACTTATGATACATTTTACATGTATGTCTTTAATACTTTGATCCTTGGAAATACCTAGGGAGTATGGATATCAGAGGGGATAGGGCCAATGTGGGTAATGAGTCCAAGATTAGAACTTATGCCTAATGGCTTTTTTCTTTCAACTGTCTCTATAATATTGAGAGTGAGGGAAAATTGGAAGAGAATAAAGAAATAGTTGGCAGAAACATATCTGTACAATAAATAAAATGGTGATAAAATCTGCAATATTTCTTAGAAAAAATATTTGTACTTAGATTAGCCAGTTCCCGCCAATTCTGTTTGAATAAGGCTGTATCAGTAGCTAGTTGTCTTTAGTTTCATGATCTATAACATGCTAATTTTCAATGTTACAGTGAATGTGCAATTAAATAATGCTCACCTAAGTGTTCTCTGAATTGTGTAATACAGTGTGAAGTACGATTACAGTCCTGCTCTCAATTTACCCCTCAGCTCTCTCCGTATTTTGAATGTCACATAAATTACCTTCAGCATTCATAGATCATCTTCTAGTTTAATTTGTAACTGTGAAATCATTCATTCAGCACATATTCAGGGGCCCTCAGGGGCCCTGATCTGGGGCTGTGACCTCTGAGAAGACTCAGGGATGGACCAGCCTCTCAAAGAGCTCACAACGCAGAGGTAGGCAGGCTGAACAAATGATTCTAAACAGGATTAGAACAGCCTCCTTGGAACTCAGAGAAAGAAGCTGTTACTTCACCTTACAAGAAATGGCATTTGAAATCAGTTCCAGACGGATGAGTTTCTGTTGAATAGTTCAACCTATATGAAGTCCTTAAGTCATTTTATTATTTGTTGTTTCTTAGTCATCAAACCTTAAGCTATTCAGGGGTGGGAGATACTCTTTGATTAGAGTGGGAGGCTGTGATCCTGGACATTTTATTTTCTTCTTCACCTGGGACCTTCACTGTACCAACTGCCTGCACAGTGTACATTTTCCTTAGTCATAGGGTCTTAGTGCATCTCTCACTTCAGCACAGCAGAGAAGAACTTCGGTTGAAATCATCAGTTAGATGAATGATGTAATCACATATGGATAAGACAATGTAAACTTTAGAAAACTATGAAAGTTTATTTTTCTAAGTTCTAAAAAAGATTTTGTTTATTTTCTTGAGAGAGGAAGGGAGGAAGAGAGGGAAAGAAATATCAGTCACTTGCCTCTTGCAAATGCCTGAACCAGGAACCTGGCCCACAACCCAGGCATGTGCCCTGATCAGGAATCAAACTGGCTTTACTTTTGCTTTGCAGGATGACACCCAACTGAGTCATGGTGGCCAGGGTAAAACTATGAAGGTTTTAATGAATTTGTAAGTGGTTTAGAGAAAGAACTATGGGTTGGATTGCACTACCACTGATACTGAGACCCTAGACATATAGTCAAACATTTCTATATCTCTGAAAGCTCACTTCCCTCATCATAAATGGTGACAGTTATAGTACCTACCTCATAGGGTTGTTGTAATGTTCGAGTTAATTCAGATAGATTCTTAAAGTCTGAAACATTGTGAGAATGAAACAAATGTTAGTTACTACTGTTGCTGTAGTTGGTAACTATTAAGATGATGATGAGCCTTGGCTGGTGTGGCTCAGTGGATTGAGCACTGGCCTGCAGACTGAAAGGTTACCAGTTCCATTCCTGGTCAGGGCACATGCCTGGGTTGTGGACCAGGTCCCCACTTGGGGGTGTGTGAGAGGCAACCTATATAAGTGTGTCTCGCACATGTTTCTCTCCCTCACTTTCTCCCTCCATTCCCCTCACTCTAAAAAACTGATAAAATCTTAAAAAAATTATGATAATGTCGGACAGTGTGTTGAAGAGACCAGGAAAGGAAGGCATCAGTCCCTAGGATACTTTCTGCAGTTTCCTACATTTACCTGCATTTTTATCTATGAGGAAAATTTTGTTGTCAACAGGATTTGGGAAATACTCACCTTTTGGTGTTTACTCTGTTCCTCTCTGAAGGCCACCCAAGGTTTCACTGAAAGATGATGAGAAATCAGTGTTTTGGTTGGTAAGTATTTCCAAAATCTGGCGATTCTTCCTAGGGACACAGAATTCTGAATGACAGTAGTCCAAGAACAATCCCAGGATGATTGGAAAATGTTTTCTGATGTATCATTAAGGCCTAGGCTTCTATTTGGGCCATCCACTAATTTCATTAGAATGATAAAAAACATAGACAAAGTGTCATCTACATTTCCTCCTATGTTCATAAAGCATCTATTACATTTATTAAAAAATAAATTGGCCTCTCCTGACAAAAATGTAATAAAAGCAACTGCACACAAAACTCCACGTCTTCAACATAACCCTTTCTCTGTCCTGTTTTCTTCATTCACACTGGCCTTGTCCCGGCTGAGGGCACCTCGACCACCTGGCCTCCTTTCTCTGGTATCCTCCCCGCACTGGGCACATACCGGCCACCCACGCCCTTCCTCAGTCATTAGACTCTGGTCAGCACCCACAGTCTGCTGACCCCAGAAACAGAATTCCAGTGAAGTTGAAGATCACATCTTGTCTTCAGCCGTGTGTCAACCCCAGACCCATGAAAGTGGACCGACCCCACCCTCCGAACACTCACGATACTGGACAGAACATGGGGCCGACATCAGGAAACCACACGGAGATCAACCCCTCCCGACCCCGGCCCCCCCACTCCCGTCATCACCAGGTGAACACTGCTCCCAGCCCGTCTCCATGCAGGCCACCGCACAGCCAGGTGTGGGGACCCTCCTCACTGGCCAGACCCGCCCCCTCTCTTGCGATGACGACTCTTCTGAATTAGTTACTTTCTCGCTCACTTTATGTTCTTACACATTCACTGCTTACTAATGCATCTATAAATACATGTGATTACGTTGCCCACGTGAAAGTTGACGGGAACAGCCCCTCACTGTACGACACACTGCTGTGCCTCTTGCTTGTTCGCTGCACCAGCAAACCTGCTCCCTGGTGACGTCCTGAGATGCCGCCCGACCCACACCAGGTCCGAGCCGGGAGGGCAGCGCTGGCTCCTCCCGCCGCTCACCGTGCTGCCTCGGGAGCCCGTTCTTCATCGGAGTCCTCAGGGTCGTCCTCCTCCTGGAGCTCGGTGGGCCCGCCTGCCTGCGGCGGTGACCCAGGAAAGCCGGTCGTGGGGCCCCTGAGACCTGGGAAGAGACGAAACCTCTGTCCTGAGGCAGAGAGCGTGGGGGAGGGACAAGCCCAGGAAGCCCGTGGGGCTGGCTCCGATGGGACGGGAGAGTCTGCAGCGAGCTGCCGTGAGCCCCGCACCCCGCACCGTCAGCGCCGGCCCCGCTCTGACTGAAGGAGCAAACTCCCTGCGACCCCTGTCCGTGCGGGAGGGAGCTGCAGGCGCACGGAGCCGCCTGAGCCGGGGCCAGCCCAGCGCCTGCCGGGTCTCCAGGCCCCCGGGACCAGCGCCTGCGCGCGCGCTTCCTGGGCTGGTGAACGGGTGGAAGTTCCTCCTCACGTCCCGGTACCGGCCTTTCTCCCTGTGGGCAGGGCTTCCAGCGAGGGGGTCGCGGGGCTAGATGGGCCCGGGCGAGCCGCCCGCGGGGGCGCCCTCGTTCCCGCCCCTCCCTCCGCGCGTCGCCTCAGGGCGGGCTCCCTAAGCCTCTGCCAGGGGGTCTGAGGGCCCCGTGGGCCGGGCGGGCCTGTGACGGCGCAGGAAACGCGCTTCTCCCAGGGAAGGGCCCGGAGGCGACCCGGGGTCCGGAGAAGCCCGCGCGAGGCGCGGGTGCAGTGTCCGGCACTCCGCCGTCCCTCGGGCTGAGAGGCCCGGGGTCCCTCAGGACTCGATCTGCGTCTTCCGGGCGGAGGACACTCAGCATCCCCGGGGGAGAGGGTCGGACCGCCGCGGCTGAGGGGGGTTGGGGCGTCTCACGAGGGGCTTCCGGGTCCCCTCCACTGAGTCGGTTTCCAGGACGACGGCATTCGGGGGTCTCTGCGTTTGGGGAGATTTGGTCTTTCTGGGCGGGTGAGCTGCAGGAAGGGCGCCCCTGAGCTGAGGGGAACTGGGGTTCCAGGCTGTTTGGGGGTCTGAGCGTTGGGGGTCAGGAGACGTGGGGTCCTCCGGGTTAGCGGACGCGGCCCCTGGGTGCTGAGGGGTTTGGGCCCCTCGGGATGAGGGCATCTGGGGTCTCTCTGGCTGGACTTGGAAGGTCTCGGGCTGAGGGTTCCCCAGGGCAGGGCTCCCCGCTTACCGGCCAGTCCCCCGGGGTCCCTGCCGTGCCGCCCACCTCGGTCGAGCGCCCTCTAGGAGTTCCTGGGCTTCCCGCCCTAGGGAGGAGGTTCCATCCGCCAATCAGTGCTGGGGTCCCAGGGCACTGCCCGCCAATGGGCCGTCAGGAGAAGCTGACAGGGCGGGGCAAAGGGGGCAGAGCCCTCTGGGTTCGGGATTGGCCAGCGGAAGACCCGCCCCGCCCCGCGGGGATTGGCTACCCTGGGTCTCCCGAGCGCCAGTGCTCAGCCTGCAGCTCTGGGGCTCGTTTTCCCGCAGCTGGTGAGGGGTGCGCCCCGCAGGAGCTGGGAGTCCCGAGCCGGGCCGGACCTTAGGGTGGACGTGGCCCTCCTGCCGCCGGGCAAGTGTCTTTGTTCCTCCAGACTGTGGTCGGGATCCCCAACTTACATGTAGCCCCGTCCGTGCCCCCCGTCACCCCCTTTTCAAACCCACTTTCAGCTAGAGCTGCCCAAGCAGTGAGGACGCGGTCAAGACTGCATTGCATTCCGTGGAACTTTAAGTCAGTAAATCCTGACCATGCAATTCATAGACACAAAATAACTCCCAGAGGGCCCAAACATTTAAACACAACAAGTAGAATAATAAGTATACTGGAAAACACACTGGGAGAATTTCATGTCTCAACGAAGTGGTGTTATGATTAATGGGTGTGTTTAACTCAGGTGTAAAAACATTTCAGAATTAGGAAGAAGAGATAAAACCAAAAAAAAACTAAATAGATGTAGAAATGCTGGAAAAACCTACAAGTATTTTGTGTAAAAATAACATAAAAATGTGAGTACAGGGGTCCACAGAGCAGGGTCAGTTTTGCTGCTACTGGCTTTCACGGAATACAGTGGGAAGAGTGTTTCTGGTCCTTACCTCGTTTTGAGCACGTAAATATAACTTGATTTCCATGGATCTGAAATGAGCCAACTAGCTGTAATTATTACTGTGAAATTGCATAAAGGGAAACTTCACTGAAGTGGAGTTGGGGGTCAGTAGGGGTGCTGTCACATAGCACCACCTGGGATCAATTACAGGAAACATTGTCTGTCTCACAGGCCCCAACATGAAGATGATACTGTGTGCTCCCAGGAGGAGCCGACTCCCCAGCACCTAAGCCAGAGAGAAACCACCCTCACCCTGAACTGACACTTTTCTGCAATGTACTTTCATTTTAAGTGACCCCTCCCAACTTCCTCCTTTCTGCCTGTTAAATACATTCCTCTCCTTTACTTGTGGAGCTGGCCTATGATTTTTGCTACAGCTTGCTTGTCCTAAATTGCAATTTTTTTTTTTTACTGTTTCCGAATAAACCCCTTATCTGCTGGTAAAATAACTGACTGTGATATTTTTAAGGTCAACATAATTTGGTGGCCTGTATGGGGATCCAGAGGACTCCTGACATCTCTGAGGTTGATGAGCAAGCAGGTGCAGTGTCCTTGCTCTGAAAGACTAGAGGAAGGGTCCTTCGGTACAGACTTTCCAGTGATCATTTTGAGAATAGCCATCCAGAAATAACATCCTCATACCCTCTGACCCAGAAATTCCACTTTCAAAATTTTCTCCTAGTGTCCCTGGCTTGGTAGCTCAGTTGCTTACAGTGTTCTGCCTATATGCCAAGGTGGTCAGTTCATTCTCCAGTCAGGGCACCTATAAGAAGCAACCAATGAATGAATACATAAGGGGAACAACTAAGTTTCTCTCTCTCTTTCAAATTAATACATGAAATGAAAAGAAAAGTATTAAAAATTTCCCCCTAGTTATGCTTCCCTGTGTATGAAATGAAGTATGTTGCATGTATTTTATCCAACACATATAATAACAGATATAAAGTTTTCAGTAGAAGAGAAATTGTTAAATTATGATTTGCTCACAATGTTGAAGCAGGAGACAGCATAGAAAGAACTCTGAGACTGCAATGCTGTCACTGGCCAGCATTTATCAGCCTGGTTGCCAGGAAACACCTTTTACCAATTAAGTAGAATAAATAGTAAACCGAGGCAGGGAGGAAGAAGGAGACAAGTCTCACATGCTAATTCAGCAGTCCTAAGCCTGTTCTGATAATATTGCCATGTGTTTCAATATCACAAGAAACACTATATTAGCAAGAAAGAACCCTTGAAATTCTATGTAACATTTCCAGTATCTGGGAAAGAAAGCCTTGAAACTGTGCTTTCATCCCAAGGCCTGAATGTGGGAGAGGGTCCCTGGTGACCAAAGAAAGAGCCCATAAAACAACTTTGGTTAATTGCCTACTTCTGGTCACTATCTGTTTTAAGAGGGAGTCCCTGATGCTTACAGAAAGAGTCCATAAATAACCTTGGAAAGTGCCCCAATTTTAATTAACTGCCTCCTGTCACATATTTGTTTTACAACAAGATGAAAAAATAGGGTCTGGAGCAAGATAAGAATTGGGGCTAACAGACCCCCACACATACCTAAGTGTGGGTAGTCACATTCCCCCAGGAAAGCTGGCACTGCATTTACCTGTTAATCAATTTGTAACTTTTTTTCCTCCCATCCCACCAACTATATAAGTCTTCAGAACAAAGCGATCTCTCTCTCTCTCTCTCTCTCTCTCTCTCCCTCCCTCCCTCCCTCTCTCTCTCTCTCTCTCTCTCTCTCTCAGGCTTGGGGTGCTCTTGGCTCTCAGGCCACAAGGCTTCTGGCCACCTGGCATCAGGCTGCCCAGGGGCTTGCCACCCTGGTCTTCAGCTGCTCTTGCTTTTGCTGTCTTGCTTTGCCCTGAAACTTTGCCTTTCATCCCCAACTCTATCCATTCCTGTTCTCTTCCATGGGAACAGGCCAATAATAAACTGGTTACATACTACTAGATTTGTAATTCTTTACCTGCGTCAGCAAGAAGAACCAGGTCTCTCCCATTAACAACACTATGTATCAGCTCAGTAGTCCTGCTTCTTAGTTACATAGCATCAGACCTGATAGGAGGCCCTAAAGTGAGGCAGCCCTGGGGGAAACTCCCTCTCCTGCTGTGCTGATTAGGGCTTCTCTGCTCATCTACAGGACTTCTCATCTAGACCTTCGTTTCCTCTTTGCTCGGCTGCATTTGCACATGAAGACGTGAAAACTGGAAGAGGAGCCCCTCTGAACAATGAGATCAGGCTGGGTGAGCAAAGAAAAGGCCTCTGGCGTTGTCCCCACAACAGACTAGATTATTATTATTCTTAAATTATGCTGTGTTTTCCTGTAGTGCTTTTTAAGCCCAAACTGAGACGGCCTTTTTGTTGTTGTTGCTGCTTACTTAAATTATATATAAAAATAAAAATAATTGAAATCCTACCCAAACAGGTAATATCTGCTGTTATATTAAGTATATATGCTTCTAAAGAAGGTGGGGATGTGTGGGCTGGGATGGGTGGAGGAGGATCAAAGGGAAGAGTTGGGAAAGTGTAATAGAATAACAATAAAACATCACCTGGCTGGCGTAGCTCAGTGGATTGAGCGCAGGCTAGGAACCAAAGTGTCCCAGGTTCGATTCCCAGCTATGGTACATTCCTGGGTTGCAGGCCATAACCTCCAGCAACTGCACATTGATGTTTCTCTGTTTCTCTCTCTCTCTCTCCTTCCCTCCCGTCCCTCTCTAAAAATAAATAATAAAATAAGATCTTTAAAAAAAAAGAATAACAATGAAAAATCATTTAATGAAACAAAGTGTATACCCTTCCAGACATCACTACTTGCATATTTCCATTCTTCCACTTTCTCTGGATTTAATTTATTATTCCGGGTCTGTAAGATGATGCAAAATGTGTGAATTTTCAGGCTCTGTCCCTAATGTGTGGATTTATCAATATATTTTTTCCCAGAGTGTTTTTTATGTACTATTTTTATTACCATTCGTTTCAAATTATTTTTTAACTGCAATTGTAATATAATTTGCGGGTCGTTTAGAAGTGTATTTTATAATTTTTAAATATAAGGACTTTCTAGTTATCTTTTAGTACTGATGGCTAGATTAGGTGCAATAATAGCATGAAACATACTTTATATAATTTCAATCTACCTTCGATATACTTTTTTTGAAACTTGATCCTTAGCACAATGCCGTAAATGGAAAAAAAAAAAAAAGCTCCTAGCGTGGTTGTCTGCTGCCATCTTGTGTTCATTTTCGGAATAACACTGTAGTGCAGGTCATCAGGGAAAGTGCATAGTCGGATGGTTCTTTGTGAATGTTGAATCCAATTTGCTGCTCATGGTGTTTCTTACACCCTTACTGAATTTTGTGAGGTGGTCTCTTGTTTCTGAAAGAGGTATGCTCTAACTCTGGTGAGAGAGGTTTGTTAAATCTATTATGATTATAAAGTTTTCTTTGTGTCTCTGTTCTATATAATTTAAGTTTATGATATTAAGTACATGGTGAATTTGGATCTTCTGGGTCAATTAAGCTTTCTGAAGCACTCACCACCTCTAGTCATGCTTTTTACCTCGAAGTCTACTGCATATTATGTAATTTTCATGTGATTCATGTTTCTGATTAAAGCTACTTTTGCACCATCCTATGTATCTTTTCCTATTCTTTCTCTTTTGATCTTCTGTCACATTTGATCCCTGATGTTTTAGGTAATTCATATTTTCTCCCAGTTTGTGTATTTTATTTATATTGTCCAAACAAGTTCTTTTTCAGAGTTGTCTTTCATTTTATGAAGTATATGTTATTAATGTATTCGTTACTTAATGTATTTTGTTACATTAGTATATTATGTACATTAATATATAATGCACACAATGTAATATTACAAATACATAATGTGTTATGTACATAAAGTATATATATTAATAATGTATTCATTACATTAATGCATTTAATGTATGCATTAAACTGCATGTCCACTAGTATACTTGATTCCTGGCTACTTTTGTTTAAATGGACCACTATTAATCAAACCTACGGATGAGGGGTGGAGTCTAAGGTCAGAGGCAGGACTGGGCTGGAGGTGAGAGGGGGCCACAGATGTGGGTGGGGCTGGGTGGGAGGCGTATTTAGGCTGGCAGGCGTGAGGGGCAGGCGGTTCTGGTGGA